ACTAGTGAAAGTCAATAAAAATCTGAATGACGAGCTGAAGCAAAGGGATGATCTTCTAAAAAAACTAAATACAGATCTTGTCATAAAAGAAGATCTTATAACTCAGATAAGATCCAGAGAAGGAAAACTGATAAAGGAATTGGAAGGTCTGAAGAAAAATATCCAAATGATGGACACCACATCAACATTAGACAAAATTCTGGACTCTGGTAGAAATCCTAATGATAAAAAGTGTCTAGGATATGAACGAGGTGAATCTTCGAATAATGCTCCTATGTTTGTCAAAGAGGGTATGTTTAAGGCCACAGCAGTTCACAGTTTTGAACAAGGACAGTCATCTCGGTCAGTTCAGAAAAATGATCAAACTGCAGATACTGACTTTGGCAAAGTAACTCATCAATCTCATTATTCAAGGTTCAAAAATATGTTTGTCAGAGTTAGACAATACACTCCCATTTGCCACTACTGTCAAACAAAAGGTCACACTCGACCTGAGTGTTATTTTTTTCTACAGAGATCAAAGGAAGGAAAAATATCAGAACAAGACTATTACACCGTTCACTAGACAGGTTAGGGTCAGAAAGTTAGAAGTTATATGCTACCCCACTATAGTTCTGATTGCATCTACGACTGAAGCTAGATGGTATTTCGACAGTGGTTGTTCCAGACATATGACTGGAAATGTAAAGTGTCTCATGGCTGTTCAACCAAGCAATGGATCTGTTACATATGGCGACGGGCAAAAAGGGAAAATAGTTAGGAAAGGTACCCTGAATGTACCAGGTTTACCTCACTTAGAAGAGGTTCTGTTAGTCAGTGGGTTGAAAGCAAATCTGATCAGCATCAGTCAGTTGTGTGATCAAAATTGGAATGTGTGCTTCGATCGTAACTGTTGCAAAGTTAGTGACAAAGCAGATCAACTTGTCATGGAAGGAACCCGATCCTCAGATAACTGTTATGTTTTGGCAAACGAAAATGCTTGTCACCTATCTAAATCTGATGAATCAAAACTCTGGCATAGACGACTTGGTCACATAAACTTCAGAGATATGGAGAGAGTTTGTGGTGCATGTGCCATTGAGAAACAAATTAGAACTCCGCACAAAGCAGTAAGAGTTATCACTACTGAGAAGTGTCTAGAGCTTGTTCACATAGACCTCATGGGGCCAACACAGACTGAAAGCATTGGGGGAAAGAAATACATATTTGTGTGTGTAGATGATTTCTCTCGATACAGCTGGGTGTGCTTTCTAAGAGAAAAATCTGAGGCCTTCAAGGCTTTTAAAACCCTGTGTATAAGGGTTCAAAAGGAAAAGAACGAGCCTATAATAAAAATTCAGAGACTGAGAAGTGATCATGGGAAAGAATTTGAAAATTCACTATACTCAGATTTCTGCTCTGAACACGGTATATCACATGAGTTCTCAGCTGCTAGAACAGCTCAATAGAATGGTGTGGTGGAAAGAAAGAATCGAACCTTGCAAGAAATGGCTAGAGTTATGTTACATGCTTCTCATCTGCCGCAACGCTTCTGGGCTGAAGCAGTTCATACAACTTGTCATACAGTGAATAGGGTCTATCTTTTAGACCAGGAACGACCAAAACACCATATGAGATCTGGAAGGGAAAGAAGCCAAACCTGAAGTATTTTCATGTGTTTGGGATGAAGTGTTATGTGCTGATTGATAGAGAACAAAGAGGAAAGTTTGAACCTAAGAGTGATGAGATCATCTTTCTTGGATACTCTCCAAATAGTCGTACCTACAGAGTCTACAACAAGAGAACTCAATCTGTAATGGAATCAGTAAATGTTGTTATAGACGACAGTCCAGACGAATCATTGGAAACAACAGTGACTGATCCAGTGACAGAGCTTCCTCTCAGTGAACTGAATAATGCAGATAGCAACAGTCAGCCCAAATCACAAGAATCCTCAGATGAAGATCAAGAAAGTTCTGAACAGGAGACAACTCTTATAAATGATACAGGTAAAGACAAACCCACCAGAACCCAAAAGAAGCTTTACAGGATGATCTGTGGATCAAGGCAATGCAAGAGGAGCTACATCAGTTTGACCGAAATCATGTTTGGGATCTAGTACCAAGACCTGATCGTGTCAACATAATTGGAACAACGTGGATCTTCAAAAATAAAGCTGATGAAGCTGGGAATATTGCAAGGAACAAAGCTCGGTTAGTGGCACAAGGATACACTCAGATAGAAGGAATTGACTATGATGAAACGTTTGCTCCTGTGGCGAGACTTGAGTCAATCAGAATTCTATTAGCTGTCGCATGCATTCTGGGATTCACACTGTTTCAGATGGATGTTAAGACAACGTTTTTGAATGGATATCTGTATGAAGATATCTATGTGGCACAACCTAAGGGATTTGAAGATCCAGATCATCCATCACATGTCTACAAGCTCAGAAAAGCTCTCTGTGGCCTTAAACAAGCCCCACGGGCATGGTATGAACGCCTGACACAGTATCTGCTACAGCATGGTTATAAACGAGGAAATGTTGACAAAACATTGTTCGTAAAAACCATTGGAAGTCATGTCACCATTGCTCAGATCTACGTGGATGACATTGTGTTTGGATCAACTTTACAGAAATACATAGATGAGTTAGTAAAAGTCATGAACGAAGAATTTGAGATGTCCATGGTTGGTCAACTGACGTATTTCCTAGGACGGCAAGTTAAGCAAAGTCCTGAAGGGTACTTTATCTCACAAGAAAAGTACGCTAAGAATTTAGTCAAGAAGTTTGATTTGGAATCATGTAAACCATCCAGGACACCGATCTCCATCTCCACAAAAGTATCCAAAGATGACACAGGTGTATCATTGGATAACACAGTCTACCGAAGCTTGATAGGAAGTCTGTTGTACCTGACGGCTAGTCGACCAGACATAATGTTCAGTGTTGGAGTATGTGCAAGGTTTCAATCTGATCCAAAAGAATCACACCTCATAGCTGCTAAACGAATTCTGAAATATATAAAAGGAACGATTCAATATGGACTATAGTACTCCAAGGACAGTAAACTGAGTCTGATTGCATACTGTGGTGCTGACTGGGCAGGAAATATTGATGACCTTAAGAGTACATCTGGTGGATGCTTCTTTGTTGGTAAGAACTTGGTGTCGTGGCTGAGTAAGAAACAGAATTCAATTTCCTTAAGTACTGCAGAGGCAGAATACATAGCTGCTGGTGGATGTTGTACTCAGTTAGTAATGATGAAACAGATGCTTTTAGACTATGGTCTTACTCAAGGAATTATGACACTCTATTGTGACAATGTCAGTGCTATCAACATCTCAAAGAATCTAGTTCAACACTCAAAGACGAAGCACATTGATATTAGGCACCACTACATAAGAGACCTGGTTGAATCCAATGAGATTGAATTGGAGTACATTCAAACAGATAAGCAACTGGCTGATATTCTGACCAAGCCCCTATATGCAAATCATTTTGAAATTCTCAGATCTGCTCTGGGAATCTGCAGGATTGACGAATAAGGCAGTTAGTCATTTTGTTAAGTGTATATCTTAACCTAAATTACCATAAAGTTTGTGGCCTTTCTCAAATTTCAAATTTCCTTTCATCCTTTTCTTACTTAAAAAGAAGGCATACCGTTGTGTCAATCACATCGCCTCTGCATGATTTTTGACAAGCCGCATTAATTAGGGTTCTTCACCCTTGGGACATTTGTTACCGGGCCACTCTTGAACAGAAGGAGCACTCAAAGAATATCTCTGCACTCAGTTTGCTCTCTCTCTCTCTCTGCTACTTCTTTGCCTAGGTTGAATCCTCTCACATTCTCACGATACATTCTAATGGCGGACGCAGTAAGGAATATCATCATCAAACATGGAAGCAAGACCCATTTTCCAGAAGTTGCCGCCAAGCACATTCAGACACTATTGCAGTTGGCAATGAAGAAGAAACTGAAACATGACCCTCTTCTTCGTGATGAGATCATGGTCACGGTTATGACAGATTATCCAGAGTTCTATGCCGAATGGTCTGAAGATGATACCAGTGAGCTTTTATTGTTGGTCTCTGAAGCCAGTGATGAGGTTTCTCCAGCATCTATCCCAGAGATGGAAATCGGACTGGGGCATTTCTCCCATACTTTGCACAGAGGGCCCTTGAATCTGTTGAGGTCTCACGATGACGAGCTGAATCGCAACCCCTGTACCTGCAAGCTGCCAGAGATGAAACCAGACACAGGCTGGAAATCCTTCGAAACAGGTCAAACACTTCTGATTCACCTATGTAAATTTCGCCTGATAAACCTGAGGATCTAGTGTCTAATGCTACCCCATCTACTGTGCCTGTTGTTTCTGCGAATGTGCCTGCTTTAATTTCTGTGAAATCTTCTGTATCTGTTGATCCCTCTTGTTTACCTACTGTGAAGTCTGATTCTTTGAAAAGTGGGGCTCTTAATGTGTCTGAGGAGGAAGAAAAATCTTTTGATGAGCCCAACAATCTAAGTTTGGTTGTTTTCTCGTCTGATAATATTGCTCTGCCCCCTGCTGTTATTGCTGATGTCCCACAAGAAATCGGTTCCTCTGTTAATCCCTCTAATATGCCTGCTGAGGTTGAAACTGTTAAACTCTCAAGCCCCCGTAACTCTGAGAAAATGGATGGCGTTCCAGTCTACACCTCCACATCTTTAGCTGAGAGTCTTGAACATGTCCAGCACTTTGTTGGTCTACCTGCTGCCTCCATTCCAAAACCCTATCGAGTGATTCATCCTTCTGAGTCCTCGAGTGAAGATGAAAAGATCCTTGCTGAAGTCTATGGTACCCAAGCTCATGCATCTACAGCTCCGACTGTTGAGGCTACTGCACATCCTGATTCCACCACCTTCAAAATTAGAGAGATTACGAATCTTCTTGGAAGCTCGTCTACACATGTGTATGATTCCAGTCACTCTGTGTCTCCTGTTCAACCCCCATCCAAAGAAACGAGAAGATAAAAAAGGATGAATATTCCTGTGAAAGTTGTTGTTGAGACTGATGATGACAATGCTGATGTGGATCAGCCTGAGAAGAGAAGAAAGCCCAGTGAGACCATCAAACCTGAAGCCAATCCTCCTATCCAACAAGTGTTCAAGACACTACGGTCTTCTGTTAAACAAATGGGCCCTACTGCTGTTCAACCTACTGTTGTTCCCACATCCTCTGCCAGAAAGGGGAAACCATCTACTCGTTCCAGAGGTCGAAGTATAACTCCTGAGGTTCAACCTATTGAAATTTCTAACACATCTATTTACAAGCCTCAGTTTGTATCCCCCACTGCTCAGGGCAAATGGTCCACCATGGTCAGGAGAGACCTTATTGTTCAAAGTTCTGTTGATGAAAACCAGCTGAATTCCGTGTGTGATATCCTACCACTGCTGAGTGAAGTGGGGCTGCTGAAGACTGTCACCTCCATCTGTCCATACTCGAAGTTCCTCACTTATGAATTTTACTGTAATCTCAATGAAGAGATAGACATTTTTACTGGGCCACGGCCAATGCAAATCTTCATTCGAGGGAAATGGTACATCTTTGGGCCTGACATGATCAATGAATATTATGGACTGACAGCGGTGCAAGAAGAAGCTATTACAGACTGAAACTTGGTGGCCAAGACTCTAACAGGTGGACAGCTTGATACATGGCCTACTAGTGACAAGGATTATCTGCCTAGCTCTCAGCTCACCTCCAGATATGTCATTCTGCACTGACTTTCTCTACACAACTAGCTTCCATCAGCTCACTTCTATACGGTTGGTAAGAAATTGGCAGGTTTCTTGTTCCGAATTGGAACAAAGATGCCGATTGATCTGGGAAATTGGATTTACTATCATATTGTCACCATGATCCATCCACGCGAACAGAAGGTAAGGCTGCCCTTCCCGAATCTGATTTATGGAATTCTCAAAACTCAGGGTCTTGAGCCTATGCCGAGTGAAGTAATCTGTCCAACCCTTCTCTATACTGTTGATCGGCGTCTTTTGACTGGAGATCACATTCGTGATGTTACACCGGTGATTGCCCCCTCCAATTCTGAACCTGATACAGTGGCTGATGATTCGCCACATGCAAGGGATCTTCAACTCTCCATTCAGTTAAAGGCAAGGGTCTCTGAGCTTGAGACAGTTCACGACATTATTGCGAAACATCTGACAGGGGCTCGTACTGAGTTGGCAACCGTTCTTCTTCATTTAAGCCTGTCTGAATCTGCTGCTACTGCTGAACCTGCGAAGTCCGGCAGTGAAACTCCCTCCAATGCTTGACCATGCTTTGACTCTCATTGGCAAAAAGGGGGAGTATGAACTCAGGGGGAGTTGAAACTCAGGGGGAGTTGTTTTTTTTTTTTTTTTTTTTTTTTTTGTGTACCTTCTGGCCCTGGCTGGGCGTTGTTTGTGATGGCACTACCTTTTATTTGAAGAATGTTCTTTGACTGTTGTTTTGATCCAGCATGACTTCTATGCTGTGTTTTTCTTTCTGCTATGTAATCAGATACTTGGGTTGTTTGTTTTATGATAGCCTATCTTAGTTCTTTCAGTTTATGTCTTTCTACATAGTCGAGTTGTTTTGCCAAATAATAGCCAAATGGGGAGTTTGTTAGTGTTTTAATTGCTCAAAAACCCCAACTTATAATTGGCAATATTATTATGGCATACTAAGATAGGTTTAGCTTAGTGTCAGTTTTGTTCTACAGAGGACTGATCAATCAGATACAACAACAGAGGGACTGACACTGAAGATCTGTTTTAGGAAGCTGTTTACTTAAAAGCTGTACGCGATTTTACAGAAGACAGATTTGGAAAGAAGATCAGCGTATCTGCTTTGGAAAGGTATGGACCGAATCTTTAAGATTACATTCTTCAAATCATGTCCTACCATCTACAATCAAAGATATCTATGGAGAGAGTGTTCTAACTATGGAACTATAAGTATCCTCATTCGTCGAGAATTAGGGTTACGCTTTCAAGAGAGAAGAAACACTCGTTATCAGTTTTATGAGATCAGATCTTTGATTACTATACATCTTCTCAATACAACATGTTCATGGTGATTAAGATGATGAACTTGAGAAGAATCACTGCTGCTTAAACGAAAGGACACTGTGATCACACTTTTGTGAGAACAACCGTAAAGAGCGTCATTGAAGTGGACTGCATCAGAGTTGGCTCTCCAGGTGAAGGGATTTCATTGGACTTTTGTATGCATGGCTCTCCACCTTCAACAATCCACTAAACCTGTGTAGACTAGGTATGTACCTTGTGTGGGGCACTTGGGTGAGATTATTGTTTCTCTACCTTTGTGCGTTGGATTATGATTTAGTGGATTGGACACCTATGTGATCGTCCCCCAGACGTAGATACACACTGTATCGAACTGGGTAAACATCTTGTGTTTTGCTTTGTGCTGTTATCTCTTTCTTTAAACATCTCTATGGTCTGTTATTACTGACTGACTTCATCGCTAAATCAGTCAGTCCATTTCATCAGTTGGTTAATCCAGTTAATTTGATTAAAAATGAGGAAATGTAAAATTACAATATTAAACATAATTATATAGGTGTACAAAATTTGTTTTAAATAACATTTTCTTGATTATCGTCGCGCCTTTACACCTTTGAAAAAATTGTTGTCTTCGTCTTTTCTCCATTTTTCATTCTTATTTCAACGACTACAGAAAAATCGTAGACGGACGCGCCTTTACACCTTTGAGAAAATATTTGTCTTCGTCTGTTCTCCATTTTCTCATTCTTATTTCAACGACTACAGAAAAATCGCAGACGGACAACTAAAGGAGCTGCTGCAATCTACTCATATTCCTAGCCGGCAAAACCCTAACACATATAGTAGACGACAGTGTTTCTTGAGTAAGTATATAGGTCTTTAAAGTTTGTGATTCTTTTCATTATTTATTCATGTGAAATTTTCAATCTTTTGATTATTTTAAAAGGATATATATCAGGAAATGTAGCAATTGACTTGATGTTTGTAAAATTGATAAGAATTTTTATAAAAATCGTTATTGATAACCATCATTTCTTTTGTGATTAGAATATATTATTATTGATATCTATAGATATGTGAATCATCATTTTTAAATTTCTCTGCACAAAAGGCACATTGGTGTAAACGAATTGTTGTGCATGGTTTACAAATTAAATGGATTAGCTGCACACTTAATTGGTAATCTATTCCAACTTCACTCTACATATATAAATATTTTAATGGATTTGTCAAAACTTTTTGTTGTACTTGTTAAGAGCATCACTACTTTCTATTCTTGGCTTGTCAATATATTGAAGTGGCGCTTTTGGTCATTTGAATTTGTTAATGGATTTGCTTGTCAAAAATATTTATTTTTGCAACTCTACCTAGCAAGTGATTGGTAAAGTTGGAGTGTGAGTTTGACGAAAACAGAAAAGTAAAAGGTAAAATCATATTATTTGTTTTGAATAATAATGGAAAATTTTTGACATATAGAAGGTCTGAAAACGTCATTTTATTGACAATCCAGCAAGAACTTTAAGTTGTGATACTATAACATATGAACTAAATTCAATTATCTTATAACTCATGGATATAAAGTGCAATTACTCACTTTTTATAATTTAGTGAATGAATTTTTACCATTTTTTTTTTTGTGTTTAATTGATTTGAAGCAGATATAGAAAGCAATATATGATGACTGAGAATTCAAGTAGAGGGAGGCAATTCAACAAAGGGGAAGTGGTAGAGTGTCATCCAATAATGACTCATCTGATGATGACAAAAGTAAAGACCCTGATTATTAACTAATAAGGTTGTCGTCTAGAAGACATTATTCAAACCTTAATCCTCCTCCCATTAGGGATACTAATCAAGAACAAACATCTGGCATATAAGGTTGTGTATATTTTATCACTAAATATGAATTTTCTGGAATGTCTTTTAATAAATACATTAGTATTTTGATCATATTGATGTGATGATGACCTATGTATGTACTGATGGGTTACTATATAAATAAATATTTTTAATAATTATTTTTATATTTGATTAATATATAAGTGGTTTCATTATTTTTAAAATAAGTAATGAATATAAAGATGTGGGGAGATGTAAAACATGGTAACTCATCAGCTTATAGGGTCAAATGTCGGTACACACAAGAGATAATCTAGTAAGTTTGGGCATAACCCCACACATTGATTCCTTTTCCCAAATACTGCCTAGCTAGTGCCTACTAATAAATCACTGAGCTAAGTCCGTGCGGGCAGTATCATGATTTTATTGATTGAACAGATGTTGTCTAAGTAGGGAGTAAAAAAATGAATTCACATTATAAAAATTAAAGTGACATAAATATATGACATACTTGTCTCATATTAAAGGTTTTTTTTTTTTTTTTTTTTTTGTACCAAAAAAAAAAAAAAAAAAAAAAAAAAAAAAAGAAAGAAGAGTTGTCTCATGATATGATGTTATATTATTGAAGCTTTATCTATCCATTCATATTCTACTGCACCATCTTCTACAGAGCCACCAGTTCCTAACATGAGACGCAAGCGCCACCGTTCCGCGAGTGAAAACTGTGATGAAACGACACCTGAAACAACAACAACAGCTCCAATGGTTGTATCACCAACTCTATATGTGTTCACCGAGTAACACATTTCACAATCATCAGTAATACATAAATTGTCCACCCATGCCAGTAACAACAAAACATAAACCATACATTTCACAATCCTCAACTAAACATATAAAAATAAAAAATAAATAAAAAAACCATTCATTTCAAAGTAAAAAACCAACCCTATTCACAGTCCTATATGACTAACGAGAAGGGGAAGGAAAAGCTAATAGAAACTTACCAGCCTTCGACAACTCGATTCAATCTATTTACCATACGTTGTGAACCCATGTCTCTAAACACTCAAAAGATCAAGTCTTGTTTCCTACTAGGGCTTGTGAAAAAGAACGATGAGCAAGACAATATTCATTGACCATGAAATTTGGGGATTTTGACTCCTATTTCGAGTTTAAAGGGGTGTATTCACACTTTTGTAGAGTTTTAAAGACTTTTAAAATGATAGATTTTAATAAATTTTGATTGACTTTCATAGAATCGTTCAAAACTTTTTAAAACTTTATAAGACTCTATAAAAATCTATATGAAAAACATTCATAGACTTTTATCAACTTTTTATTTAAAAAAGTCTACAAAAGTCATTGAAATTCTAAATTGGATACATCCTTACAAGTTTTCAAATGATTTTGATTCTTATCATTTACTCCGTATAATAAAAGAATTGATCAAATAAAATATTTAAAAATATAATTACAAGTTGCATAAAATAATAAAAAAAATAAAAACAAAAACAAAAATCTAATATTAATAATATATAAAAAAAAATTATATTTGATATATTGCTATGCTTCACGCAAAGAACTATTATTTGCAATAGCAATTTGAGACTGGGAAAAACAACATGGTGCTACTGTTTGCAACTCCAAATTGTTGTTGCGAACAGTAGTTCGCTCTTCGTAGTAACCTGTTGTTAAAAAAAAAAAAAAGAAAAATATATATTACGAATATAAACATAAAAAGAATAAAAATCAAATATAGA